ATCTCCATAACACGGCTTCAAAAGTTGAACCCAAAGGTTACTCGACTCATTTAAAAAAGCGACATGTCCGTTCATAAAGCAAAGTCGAGTTAAAAGTGGAAAGACTGCCCATACACAAGCCGCCCTTCTCCTTTGCATTAAGAATAACATACCACTTCACCCACACAATCTTCCTTTACTCAATGTTACAACCTAAAAAAAAAACCTAGACTAGATATTTTCAAGAGCCCCGTTAAGGGCAGTTGAGATCTTAAACAAAGACATAAAATATATGGCATATCTTCCGAGGACCGGATTTAATAAAGTCACTGTGCCAAGAAAAAAGCATTTTGGCTTTTCAATTCGACAATCACTTCTTGAACTTAGGGCATCTACAATCCATTGAACTCTATAGAGTTCAGTGGATTGTCACATCATCCATTAAACATCTACACAACACTACCTACAACCCATTAAACGCTTATTTAATCATAATCATCACTTTATTACTTCTATTGAACAATTCAATGATCATTCAACTACTCCATTTAACTCTACTTCATGTCATGACCTATACTCCATTTAACTCTTATTCAATCCTAATAATCACCATATTCAACTCTTATACTACTTGCATTATGGATGCTCTTATGAATGATAAGTCTCCACCCTTCGATTCATGCCACGTTTCCACCCACCGGAAGACCAAGACATGTAAAAGGAAACACATCCGAGGGCACCCTGTTAAAGCAACTAACTACCAGATAACATGATCTCTGACACCCACTCCAAGTAGCCTCGATTTTTGAATATTAATCTTCAAACATGTAGCCTTATAATAAATCTGTAATATCCTAATCAAGTTTCACAAATTTCCTTTATCTCACTCTACAATAAGCAACACATCGTCAACATAAAATAAACGAGAAAGTTGCAAGGTCGGCCCTCCCGACATCACAACGTTGAAGATATCATGGATCACAACGTCTTCCATAGTATTTTGAAGACATGTCTAATGATAATGTCAGTGGGATTAGTCATATCGTATATGATGACTAGATTCAAATCCTCCCAAGGCCTTCCTATAGCCTTATTAAAAAAACCTAGACAACGTTTCCACACTTAGTGTTATGCCAACTTTGTAGGCGTGGGGTAAGATTTGGTTGCTTCTGTCCATGGCAAATGCTAAGAAGATGTTGCCTAAGTAATTCTCTTTAACAGGGCATGCCATTTAGAAATGTCTGAATCTATGGATTATTGGACAATCAATCATAACACTATTTATTGAAAACTTGAACTATAGGCAAATTAGTGTTGTATTAAAATAGAATCTTACAACACAACCTAGAGTGACAAAGAACATAAACAACTCAACTCATCTTTCTTGATATGAGTAACTGCTCCGAGATTGGTTTTTGCAAGATTGTAATTGTAGAAAAGGAGATCGAAAAAAAATTTCTTCGTAGAACATGGATTGTATTGGATTAAACTCAACTTTAGCTATAGATAAGTTGTATTTGTGGTGTTAAAGGTATGTATATATAAATATCAACTAACACATGTACATGCATAAATTGGACTATAAAATTACGGTTCGAAATATAAGTCCAAAATATAGAATCAACTCATTTTAAATTCAATATATGGCAGAAAAAAGTCCATCCAAAATGCATTTTTGTAAACATAAGTCTGAAATGTCATATTTAGGATTCACTTTATGTCACATCCTGTCAAAACTCGTAGTCCGCGACATGATTATGGTGTAATCATGAATAGAGTATTGCGGACTTGATGATCATTTCGGTGAACATATGAAAAATAATGCAATTAGACTATGCGGAGTGGGTGCAGTCTCCACTACGGTTTGCCACCGTGTCAATGGAGAACACCGCCCCTAGCATGCGATTTGAACCGCACTCCCTTCCCCCACGGCTGTTTATTACCACATTCTTTTCTCTTTATTCTTATTTTTAATTGGGTTGTTTTAAAATTCCTAAATGGACTATGCATGGACTACAAAAACACACGCATACAATTGAAACAAATCCAGGGAGTATTTCTATTTTCTTGTGCTTTGTTTTTTATTTTTATTTTTATTTTTTTGTTAATTTAAATTATTCTAGTATATTGAACATGACAAGTATTGAGGTTATGATTTTTATTAAAAATAAATTGTTTTATAAAATATATATATATATATATATATATATATATATATATATATATATATATATATGTTTGTCATTGTTCCCACCGACAATTTAATTAATAAAGCTTTTTTTTTCCTTTTTAAGTTATTTTATTTGAGTTTATTTTATAAGTTATTTTAATCGTGTGTTTTTTTTAAGTTTGTAGTATTTTTTTTTTAAAATTTCATGTTATTTTTTTTTAATTTTAAGTAATACAATGCAATGTTTTTTTATTTTGAAGTAATGAAATTTTATGTTTTTTTTAATTAAAAATAAAGTCATATTTAAATTAAATCCTTAAAAAAAATATGACACCACTCCTTAAGTGTGGCAAGGAACCACACTTTTATGGTAAAAGCTGACATGGCGTTTACGTGGCAATGAAGGGAGTATGGTTTCTGTGGCATCACTCCCTCCAGCCTTATATTTATTAAACGATATGATACTTAAAAAACAGACCAAAAGTTTAAATTAAAAAAGGAAAAAGAATGAGAGTGTAAAGTTTTGTTAACCATTGATATTTATGTAACTAGGACTATTATTTTGTTGGACCGCTTCTTTCTTTAATAGCTTTTCATTCCCAAAGCAAAAAAAAAAAAAAAAAAAAAAAAAACTCATTTCCATTATGATGAAAAGTTTGATGGACTGGTCCTTTGGATTTATTATTTATGGACCTCAAACAAAATCCCAATAATGGGTGCTCTCATGTTTATGGTACTGGACTACTGGTAGAGATGAGAAGAAGGTGAGATGAACCCATCTGAATTTAATATCAACAATTTAACATCAACATAAATAATAAAATAATAACTAACTAAACAATTAAAGAAAGATAAAAAAAATATATTCAAAAGATATAAAAAAAGACTTTATACTATTCTTATATTTACAAGAAAATGACCCTTCTTTTTCATAATATACAAAAAACCAGGATATTTGATAAAATGGTTCCTAATTTTACATGGATGTAGAAATGATCCCTAAGGTGGGTCTGTCGAAAAAACCCGAAACCCGTTCTACCCACCCAACCCGTTCCGAATTCGGGTAGAATGGGTCGGGTAGAACGGGTAACGGGTATGAACATTCGAGTAATAGGTTAACCCGATAATAATATAGGTCGGGTTTTAGGTATGAATATTTATTCGGGTATACCCGAATACCCAAATTCGTTTTTTTAAATAATACCAAATATACAATGCAGTCACGGACGCACACTTCAAATAAAACAAAACTTTTCGTTTCCTTCTTATGAACGACGGCTCGACAGTCGACACAAACTTGCAAAGGGAATATGGCGCTGAAGCTGAAGTCCTGAACCGTCATCACAATTCTCAGTTTCTCACTATCGCACGGAATGGAATTAAAAAAGTACATAACATATTATATTGATTTGTATTGTTATTATATATGTACTTGTTAATTGTATGGAGTATTTTTCTACCCGATTCTTTATTAAACCAACCAACATGTAAAAATAAAAATAATAATAATAATAATAAATTATCAATAAGTGTCATTTAAGAAATTTTCGGGTATACCCGATAATACCCGACCCTACCTCAAACCCGAATACCCGAAACCCGAAAACCCGAATTACAATATAGGTCGGGTATCGGGTATTATTTTCTTAAGGAAATACCTGTTCTACCCGAAACCGAAAATTTTACCCGTTCGACACCCCTACCATGAGTTTTATAGAATTAGAGAACTGGCGCTTATGTTTCATAAAATATAGTTTTGGACTTTGTCTAACAGCAAACATAGTCTTTATGTTTCACAAATAATAAAAATGATCATCATCGCATTTCACAAAATTACATAAATGATCCATATCTATTAACAAATTTACATAAATGCATCCAGTGTTTCTCATAAATACAAAAATAATCTCCATGCAAAAAATCATTATAGAGTTTTTGTCAAAAATATATGACAATTTATTGGTTGTTTAACAAAATGACTACTTCTTTCACAAAATCACATAAATATCATGATATTTCATAAATTGGTCTCTTTGTTTCACAAAGTTACGAAAATGGTCTCATTATTTCCCAAAATTATAGTTATGGTCCTTGCCTAATAGGAAAAATACATAATTCATTCATATGTTTCACAATATTACAAAATATATAAATAGTCTCTACCTAATAGCAAATTTACAAAAACAATTCATGTGCTTCTCATAACTTATATAAATAATTTCATGTAAGATAACATTACATAACCAAAGGGTCTCTGACCTAACAGTATCATGAGTTAGCGGATATCTGAGCATCAACAAAATGTTTTGGGTTTAGTTCGTTGTGGACAAAAAATATAAATTTAGAAGTAAGTAGTACCCATTTATATGTTGTTCTTAAAAAAAAACAAGAGCAAAAAATAACATAACATAATGGTATTATATATATGATTAATAAATCAGTTTCAACACGCATGACCCCACTGATTTTATACGCATACAATGTACATATATTCAAAATTAGATCCGAATCTACAAAATTTTCAAAAATCCAACCAAACTTATGATTTTAAATAAAAACACAATGACCAATATTCACTAAAATCCTTTCTCTATATGTTCCAACTTGCATTAGTCAAACTAAAAATCGGATAAATCTTTGACCAAAAATGAAAACAAGTCCAAATGTCAAAGAAAGGGGAATACCGGCAAAAGATCCATTTCCAGTTCCATGTACCAGCACACACACAAACACCTCTCATTAATCCAAATAATTAATACGAGATAATGGCGTTTGATTATCCGATTCTATTAATTTAAGACAAAATGGTGGGGCGACTTTGATAGGATAAGGCCTTTTTATTTCTTCATCTTCCTCGAATTATTCTCCTCTCTGTCAAAACTCAAAACCCTCTCTCCTTGTTTTTATCCGTTTCCGCTTGTTCTTCCGTTTTTGTCTTTGTATGATCCCTATCTGTTTAAATTCATCCATTTTTATGCTGCAACTCTTCATCTGATCAGTATCATGTCTGTTGCGTTTGAGACTAACACCAACAGCGATACTAATCGGATCCGGCAGCCTGGGTTTGCTCAAGGGATGTGGATCTACAACTCATCGGAGACCGCTAGATTCACTGGAGATGATCATCGGAGTAGTAAATTCCCTGTCGATAAGGACGAAGATGATCAGGATTCAAGCAGTTCTTCGTCAATCGGAAATAACAGTGACGCATCTGGCGGCGAAGGCGATTCCGATGATGACGCCGGCGGCGGCGAGGTTCAGAGCTTATTTAAAGGCTCATTGAATAACTTATGCGCTTTGGAACAGGCTTTGCCGATCAAGTACGATTTCTTAGTTTTATCATTTATATTATCCATTACTTTTATCTAGGATTGCAATTTTTTGTTACACTTGTTCGTATTAACAATTAAACGATTCGAGAAATATTAATCCTGAAGATCGGTGATAAGTCCGTACTGGTTACTTAATTAATGAACGAATATTGTATGCGATTTTGACATGCATGTGCTTCTAGAATCAAGGAATCATGAAACATATCCCATTAATTTGAGTCAAAATATATTGAATTTCATAGATAGTAACTTAGGGGTTAGTCTGATTGTCTGAATCAATCCAGTTCTATCTTATATGCTCATTCAATGTTGGTTTGATTCTCATTTTAGGAGAGGTATATCCACATTCTATGCTGGAAAATCGAAGTCATATACAAGCCTAGCTGATGCAGTATCTGCTCCATCAATCCAAGACATTGTTAAACCAGAGGATGCTTACAACAGGAAACGCAAAAACATAATTGCTCATGGTGTATTCTTGGATAAAAATCGAAATTTTGGTTCTAAAACTGGGATATCAAAGAGATCAAACAACACAAATGGAGTTGGTGAAACTGAAACTGAAACATCAAGCATAAGCTTAAGCTCATCCCCTAATCTTTCTCTTCCCCCACGTCCTACAAGATTACCCACTAAAGAACTTACAGCTTCATCGTCTCCTAGGGCTAGGGTTTATTCTTCTCCATGGAGATCTTATTCTCTGTCAGATTTACAACATGCTGCTGCTGAAACATCAAGAATGAAAAGCTCACTTGATAACATAAGAGATAAGGATGAGGATGATTAGATAGATGTTCATGTTACGTTTGAAAGATGACTTTGTAAGGTGTTAGGTCTGTAGCTGGTTTCCTTTTTCCCGTTTCCTGTTAACTGCCCTTTGTACTTACTTCCTTGAGGGCATTTCTGGAATTCAGTGGATTTTATGTTTCCTGTAGTTCTTCCTTGTATCCTTATGCTTGTTATATATATATATAATCAAATGTTCCCTTTTCATCGTATTTATCTGTTGCCACTTGTCATCCATTCACCAATCTGTTTCAGATCTGTATTATAGCAGAGATTCTGCAAGATGGATGAAGTTGCCACTCAAATATACTGAAAGGTACTGTGAACCCTGTTTGAACCCTAAACATATACAATATCTGTTCTTATTGTGAACCATGGGCTTATAGGCTAGTGATATTATGATTTGAGAGTAATGTGTTTTTAATATAAAGTTTGAGGGTTCAAGTTTCGTTAGTGACAAAATGTGTAGATTTAAGAGTAAGATAGTGGAAGTATATCTTAGCTGTGCAATAAAAAAAAAAACTATAGGGAACCTTATTTTGAAATAGTTGATTTTTTTTACTAAATAAAATAACATAAATGGTTCACGTGGCTTACAAATAAGTCACAAGTTCAATCAATAACTTTTTTTAAATACGGATGGTACCTATTAATAATATATTACAATAGCCCCAACCATCCTAGCCCCCAAAACCCCTCTCTTCGTTGGGTCGGTCGTCTCCGTAATTATTAATACAATCTCAAAACAATTGCTCTGTCATGTCCAACTTTTCTACCTCCTCCTTTCTCTTTCTACCGTAAAAATTCTCCTCTTTGCCGCCCGCCACCACTAAATCATACCAATGCTTCCTCGGATAACCACCGATAACACATCCCTTCATTCACTTCCTATGGTTGATTCCCTAACAAAAGATTTCCTCCCATACGCATAGGCTTCCTTTGATACGTTATATGAATGGACCTGAAATCTTAATCAGGGTCGGCCTTATGTGTTAAAAATATAAGTTAGGCTTAGGGCTTCATTTTATAAAGGGACCCACTTAACCCAAATCCTCTAATGTCGATTTCATACCATCTCCTCTTCTCGACTTCTGCATTCACTGATACGCATACACGCCTCAAATTAAAAGCGACGATTACACTTATGTTCTTCTTCTTCCTTCTTCATTCTTGCAGACTCGCACTCTGAATCTCTGATTAGTGATTAACTGATTCTTCGTTCTAAAATCTAAAGTGACTGATTCTTGCAGACTCTCAATCTCGATTCTTGAACTATTGAGCACTAAATGAAAGGTTGCCTGATTAGTGATTCCTGAACCAATGAAATAGCTTCTTCCTTCTCCATTCTCGGCTTCTTTGAAGACTCTGATGAATTTATCTGATGATTCAAGGTATAGGCAGTGTTTTTTCACTTGATTTTTCCATTATCTGATTAGGTTAATAGCCGATTTTTTTATTATCCGTTTTGACTTGATACCTTCTATTCTCGATTTCTTTGTTTCAGTTTGATTTTTTATTTTTGAGTTAGTGTTTCCACTTATTTTTTGTGTTGCTGGTAAACTAAATCTTAATTTGTTTACTTCTTGTCAAGGTATTACATGATTTGATAAACTAAACTTTAATTTGTTTATATCTTGTGACTTGTGTTTTTGTGAATTTGTGTTTACTGAATTTGTCAAGGTATTCTATTTGATTCATGAATCGACTATAACTAGTGTTTTATATAAAATGTTTATTTTCTTAGCATATTAAATAGAAATACTTGGATATGCAAGTCAAATAGGGAAAATGCTTCTCGTGTTATGAGCATCTAAGGAATGTTGGTTATTGTCTATTGATCGATTTCTATGTATATGTGGCTACGGGCTTGTTCATTGATTTTTGTGTTTAAGTTGTGCATATTTGAAAAACAATTAGCAAAAGAAATTGATTATGGAAATTTTATTAAGGAATTTTCATCTAAAAAGTCTAGAAAAATTAACTGTGTCCTAAATATATTTAGAAAAAACATATACATAATAAAAAAAAATTAACTCTGTCATTTATAAACTTTTTAGTTTATTATTACCGGGTTTTGTCCGTTTAAAAAAAAAGGTTTATAACATTAAGTATAGTAGCTTGGATAAAGGAGGAGAGTTTATAACATTAAGTATAGTAAAGACCAAAGGGCCCCATATTTTTGTTCGCTTAAAGTCCCCAAACTGGTTGAGCCGCCCTAATCTTAATGTTGTAGAAGTCCAATTGATGTCAGAATCATGGTTTCTGACTCAATCAACAACTATCAAACAGTCACTAAGCCACTATATATATATATATATATATATATATATATATATATATATATATATATATATATATAACTTAACTTGAAAATTCCTAGATGAAACGAAATGTAGAGTTAGACAAAACAACATTAGGCCCAAATTTAACAATTTGTCAAACTATCAGACTCGACTAGCGGAGTTTGAAAATTGGTCGACTAACCCAATAAAACTTGGTTGTCCGATTTATGATGTTTGGCTAAAAAACTCTAGCGACTTTCGTTTAGAGCAGTCATTTTTGTTGATTTCACATTTCAGTCCGGTCAGTTCCTATATTCGATTTTTGCACACAAATGATCAATTTCATGGCTTCTTTAACTTCTAGGGTTTGATTTGGTCTAACATAACCCATAAACTCTAAAAGATATAGCCTATGATCATTGATTTCTCACTAAGATAAAAGGTTTCAACCTTATATCTTAAACCTAATCACACCAGAAAGGGTTTACTTACTTGATTGATGTTCCTACAAATTTTTTTGTGGAACATTTGTGACTTAGGGGAGGGGAAATTTTGGAAGGGGTTCCCCGCATTTTATAAGCCTCGATAACCCCATGATAACAATTCCAATCATTATTTTTGTTAGTATGTCATCTATAGTTCTTTCACTTAAAGTTAGGCTAAATTCTTCCCAAATCCAATTAAAAATCAATTTTAAAAAGATTAAATAAATAACGAAAACTTAATAACAACACATATCGTATGTATAAACCAAAGGGCCTATGGCCTAGTGGTATCAGGTGTGTTGGAAAGTGTCCTTTTCCAAAAGGTTTAATGTTCAAGACCCGTAGTGAACAAATGATGTATATATAGGAGCAATATTAGATTAGTGTGTGCTTTAGCCGTTCTAAAAAATAACATATCATATGTACAAATCATAAAAAATCAACCACTATTAAGCACATTATTCTAATAACCACAACCAGATCTCACACCTTGAAGAAGCTGAAAAAATCCCATCAATGAGCAGAAGGACCAACAAAACTCCCAATCTCGAAGAAGAACTCCAAAATTATCCAGACATGTTGCCAAAATCCTGGTCGAATCAATCCAAATACCAACCCAGCCGACGCGACCTGCCAAAGCCGAACCTTGCGTACACACGATAATACCTGAAAAACTGAACAACGCTGCTCCAATATTCGATCTTCAAATAACTAAGGCCAGTTGCCATCGTAACCTACTAAGAACAACAGATCCATAACCAATAAACCGAGAGAAAACTTACACAGAGACCAAGATACAAACTTTACTGAATTTGACTAAGGGTTGACACATCAACACACCCTCAATTGATACTGCCTGAAACCTTTGCATATCCTCAACAAACTTTGAGGCCAATCAACAATTCCCATCTCCTTCCAAGATAACTAACTCATATCACAGGCTAACCATGCTTCCCATACCCGATACACAATTAGAGTGGACTACTGGCCACAACAAATTCCGCAGCTTCCTGTTGCGAGAATAACACACACATCTAACGGGCAACTTGCCATGCACCCACAATCTGACCAAACTTAAAATTCTCCGCGTCCATGGAGGACTCCTGCAGATCCTAGAGGAACTCAACGAGAAACTTCCTAATCACGAACACTTTGATAATAACTCACTTTCTTTTCCCCCATGCAACCATAAACACTAAAGAAAAAGTCTAACTTTCCTGAACTACAGATTATTCTGACCCATCGTGATGAAATTATAAAAATCAAACCGATCAATGATCCTCCAAGCAGAATACCCAGTTCTCCCCCTACTTAGGGTTTGAACGAGCATCGACTGACTTATGCAACACCAAAACCTCGGACTGGCTTAACTATAATCATACTCGACTTGAATCTCAGTATGCAAAATCACAATTCACGATGATCGTTAGAACAAGAAATCTCTTAATCTCAGATGGAGACTTTGAAGACCTTTCTCCCAGCATCACCCACTAAACTTAGCAAAATCGATCATAACACCATTGGATAGACTAAGCATCTTCCGAGTTGAACTTACATACAAAAAACCTTACGCTTTGAGAGTTGATCCACAATCTCATCCTCCTTTTGAACTACAAGAATCCATTACAAATGCTCAAAGCGTAGCTCCGACAAACCCCAACATATCTGTAGAACTCTCCAACCCATAATAGGAACAACTCGATGTCTCCTCGGTGACACCCAATCTTCTCGAATCTGTGATACATATTCCACTTGCGACATGGCCTTCACTGTAACATCCCTTGCCATCGGATGACCACTCCACCTCAGGTTGTGATCCTCAAGTAGATCATCACTGCAACTTCCTTCTTGAGTCTCGCGACACTACTTCAAGCAAGATCCTCGAGATCTCTGAATCAACTAACCCTCACAGGTCTGCACCAACCAGTAGGGGGTGTGTAAATAAACCGTAAAACCAAAAAACCGAGCCGATCTGGCCAATCCGAAACCGAAAAACCAAAACCGAAATAAACCGAAACCGAAAAAAAACCGAAACCGCAAAAACCAGATACCTACGGGTCGGTTTCGATTTGTATATTTAGATATCCGCGGATACTCGAACTGAACCATCATATTATATATATATATATATATATATATATATATATATATATATATATATATATATATATATATATATATATATATATATAATAATAATAATAATAATAGTAAAGAAAGAATCAGTTTTAAATTGAAATTTTAAACCAATGCCACAGAGTACACACATAAATCACAAATCACAAATCACGTTCATATGCTTTTTATCGACTCTAACTTATTTATCAAATGTATATTTTATGTCTATGTTTTATTCATAAAATGTATATTTTATCATATTCATAGAACGTATGTTTTTATCGGTAAGAGTTGAATATTATTATTATTATTGTGAGTTTTTGGTTTTCATAAAGGAATGGTTGAAATAAAGATAATAGTTTTGATTGATTATTATTTTTTATATTTAACGGATACCTGTGAACCGAACCGTGGTTACCCGCATTCATACGGTTCGGTTCGATTCGGTTTTTTTGGCAATTCAGTTGGGTTTCGGTTAGTACATGCAAGGTACCCGCCCCGCTGTCACGGTTCACAATTTTATTCATATCCAATACGAACCGCCCCGTAAACACCTCTACCAACTAGACCTAAACTGCCACGAACACTAAGGCCCAAACGATTTCCGGTCTCATTCAGAGCAAACATAGCCGACATGCCGACAGCGATGGGGGCGACTGCAATTAATGATAGTGCTAAACCACACAATCCACCCTCCACCGGCTCCTTAGAAACCTTTTCAACCCTTCTTAATCCCCGTACGGATCCTGTGCTTTCAGTATTACAGACTCATACTACCTTTTACACCTATCGGTACGTGTCCCAAGAATTGTCTCACAGTACCTAAGTCACTACACCAGACCACTATCAATCTCAGATACTCGTGCCACCACAGGCACACACTACCCCTCATCCTAGACTCTCCCTCTATATCTCTAGGATTCTTCTCACGCATGAACACGCACTAGAATGCCTTTCTAGGAACTCTACCACTGCATCAGCACACCTAAACACTTATAAAGGCCGCCACAACCGCCTAGATTCCCAACTCAGACTTCCTCATTCACAAGTGCTCGCACCAGCACACCCTAACACTCCCCCGATATGACTAGGAATACTCATCCCACCATACTATCAGCCGCAGAAGAAACTTCTATCATTGTCAACTAACTATCTTACAAATACAGTTTCATACATCAAGGATTAAACAACCCTTTGACTGAAAGATCCTGCACCACAACGGTTGGACTCAAACAAGAGTTGCGTAATAGGAAAAATCAAACATTCTAAAACTATTTAATCTTTGTGGCATGCAACTTAACGTATTCACTTAATAACTAACTAACATCAATATAAGTTTCACATAACACAAAGCAAGCATCATTCGAGCAGAAAACCAATAGTCAAAAAGGAATTGTAAGGATCAGGCATTTCTAACATGCAATTCCTGAGGATCCTTAGCCTACACACTATCATGCATATCTAACAACTCATATATCACACACACACAAGGCATCTCTCCTAAACAAACACTCTAGCATGCAACCCTGAGTAGATCCTTAGCATATCTCATAACATACACATCATATTATAACATATATGACAACAAGTTTGACTACAACATATAAAGAAAGTATGGATATTTGGGAAATCACTCTACGAGCTCCAACTG